ATTTAAATATTTATTTATTTAAGTGTTTTTAAAATGAACAAAACTTAAACCTATCAAAGATGACTTTCACAAAATAAATAAACTAGTTTTGTTATTTTTCTAGAAGAAATTTTCGTATCTATACTATAGTATTATTAATTAATTAATTATTAAAACCAGTAAGAAAATAACATGCAACGTTAAATTAAATCATACCATTTAACCCATATTAAAATAACCAACTAATATGATTTAAATAAACGTAGATACTTTCAATAGTACGATTATTAGTTATTACTTATTGCATTGAAATTTTAAAAATGCACTCGAGGTCTCTTCTTTTAAGCTATAAACTAGCCACCCATGTTCAATATACATAATATAACGAACATTCCAATTAAATAATATACTATAATTAAAACATTTTGATTAACGTGTAAATAGCTATTTACACACCATGGGAGGAAAATAGTGCTTTTCCTCCCGCGAATAGTTTGATGCCCGACGCGAAGCGAAGGGCATTAAATATTCAAGGGAGGAAACGTATTTTCCTCCTGAGGTATGTATATAGTTTTTTCTATTACCTTTTATCGGTTTTAAGACATTTTAAGCGTTCCAGTTCCTTTTACTAACCCGGTATGGGGCTATAAAATTATGACAAAATATTAAGTAGGTGTTGCGTCGCCGACGTTATGTTGACAACGCTTTGTTGCCATGGTATTTTTGGTAATACAAACATGACAGTTTTTATAAGCTGTCAGAATGTTTATCATAAATTTGAAATTCTTCCTCCTACGTTTTAAAAATGAGTTCTAGCGAAGAAGACCTGCCGCAAGATATTGCTAAAGAGGCAATTAATCTCCTTTCTTAAAAATCGAAAGAGCGATATGAAAATGAATATAGTTTGTTAAAAGAATGGTTGGACAAGCGCGGAGTAAATATTTTTCCTACAAAATCAAATAGGGCTAGACAAGGTACAAAAACTCTTGCTAATGTAAAATTGTTAAAAAAAAAGAGGGAGGAATTTTTTTTCCTCCCGAGGAAAAGAGGGAAAATGCCTCGCTCGGGGGTGGAAAATTAAGTTTTCTATCTAGTAAGGTAGTAGAAAAAATAATGAATACATTAAATACTCCTGAAATGTTCTTACATAGTTAAAAAGTTATATTTAAAATTATCCAAATAATTATTTTATGCTTATAGTAGATTTAAAAAAATATATAATACCTAATAATAAACCAATATTTTCTGCACAGCCAATGACGCGCAAAATTTAATTTAAATACACGCTATGAGGTACATAATAACTCCTTAAACAATTAACCCGTCTATATTTGAATTTATAATTAATTTTCGCATATTGTTTCACAAACGTGATTAAACCAAAGGTTTCTTTATATTCTTGCAATAAATGTGAAAAAACGTGTTTTGGTTTTTAGATTTTTGGCAATTAATTGTAGTAAAAATGTAAGTTTTATAATTATTATAAAGGTGTACTATTTTAAAATTGTTAATTTTAGTATTCAAGGGAGAATATTTTCTAATTAAATTTATTGTTTTAATAATTATCTTTTAAATGTTACAAAAAAAACAAAAACAAGGGCCTTTAATTTCTAAAATGTTAAGTAGATACCCTTTAATTAACCAAAATGTATTGCAAATTATTGTTTGTAAGTTAGTATTTACACTAAGCTTAAAGTATTACACAGTGCAACACTAAAAATGTAAACACCGTTTTAAGTGGTGTTCTTTAAAGTACTTTATAACAGTAGCAAAACCCCAGTTGGGTTTTGCTAGTTTGTTTCCAATAAGGATTTTATTGCATTTTGAAAATTTTGACTCAGGCTTGTGTATGTTGTAGGATATATTGACCTATTGATAACCGATTTGAATATATATTTTTTTAATTTGTAGGGTTTTTGTTAGGGATGATCCCATAAAAATTATATAAAAAAATACCACCCCTAAGGGTGAAAAATTGGCGATTAAACTACAAATAGGTCTGTTTTGAAGCTATGATACGAGATATCTTCGCCAACTGTGAACTGTTTTTTTTAATTCTTTTAATAATGTGTAGGGTATATAAATTTATTGAAAAAATCCACCCCTAAGTATGAAAAAAAATGGAAATTAATTTTTATATTGGCATTTCATCAACTTCCCGTTTTGAAAATTGTTTCTTGGTTTAAAAGGTATATTCCATGGGTTGTCTCATTCTCAAGATGACATGATGCATTTGTTTTTCATCTTGTCGTATTGAGGTTAAATTCTTTAAATGTCATTCGTCTGAACTTGAATAATACCGTGATGACGTATCGGCCATTTCCTATCGGCCCAACTATATCAACTTCGCTTGATTCTAATTGTGAATAAAAATTTTAACAGGTGTGCTTAATGGACCAGATATCAGAAAGTTAACTGCAAACGATAGGTTCACAAAAATCCTTAAGAACGATCACCGGAATGCTTGGGATGCACTAAAAGCTGTAATCGAGGGCGTTTTAGGGAAGAATCGTGTGCAGCGAGACGAAGTGAAGAAATTGGTGGGCCAAATGCTCTATTATTTTCAAAAAATTAATGTATCCATGACATTAAAATTGCATTTCCTTCATTTTCACCTAGATGAATTTTTACAACAATTGCCCACTGAATCGGATGAACAAGGAGAGCGCTTCCATCAGGTAACCATGCCAATGGAAAAAAGATACAGGGGAAAAAAGCTGGATGCATTGCTTGCGGAAGTATGTTAACACCAATTGGTGGAGTCAAAAAATATTCCAAAATGAAAGCACTGAAGATCCTAAGGAGACTGAATATGGAGACGCTAAAAAAAATATGCCGCTGAATCTTCCCGGATGCTCGAAATCTTTAGAAGCGTCAATGGCAATGGATATTGATTAATTATACCTAGTTAGATTATAATGTAACACATTTTTGAATATTTTTTTCACATTTTTTATAAGAATAAATATTTTATTTGATTTAAAATTAATTTAAAAACAAAACTCTTCCTACATTCAGCTTCCAAAACCACAACACCATGTCATCTTGTCTTAGTGAGAATGGGACAACCCTTGGTATATGTTTTTAATCCAAGAAACAATTTTCAAAACGGGAAGTTGATGAAATGCCAATATAAAAATTAATTTCCATTTTTTTCATACTTAGGGGTGGATTTTTTTCAATAAATTTATATACCCTACACATTATTAAAAGAATTAAAAAAAAACAGTTCACAGTTGGCGAAGATATCTCGTATCATAGCTTCAAAACAGACCTATTTGTAGTTTATTCGCCAATTTTTCACCCTTAGGGGTGGTATTTTTTCATATAATTTTTATGGGATCATCCCTAACAAAAACCCTACAAATTAAAAAAATATATATTAAAATCGGTTATCAATAGGCCAATATATCCTACAACATACACAAGCCTGAGTCAAAATTTTCAAAATGCAATAAAATCCTTATTGGAAACAAACTAGCAAAACCCAACTGGGGTTTTCCTACTGTTATAAAGTACTTTGAAGAACGCCACTCAAAACGGTGTTTACATTCCATGACCTCAAAAATGTTGCACAGTGTTATTGCAACAAAGCCACACAAAAACTGAAAGCAGGGGGATATTTTGGATGCTTTCGTAATCATTTTCCCGTTTATTTAAAAATCTGAGCTGATCGAGAAAATGCATATTTCAGTCAATTTCCTGTTTATTAAGTCAAATTCGTGAAATGAGAATGGAAAACTTATTTTACAATAAGTACTGGGTTGCCTCATAATATTGCACAAATATTGTTATTAGTAGGTAATAAACCTAATTTTTTCTTATATAACCCGCCATAATTGAAAAAATATATTTATATACTCCTATTGCATAATATTGTTTTTTTAATGAATAATGTTAAACATTATAAATTCCCTGCCTAGGAACGGGAATAATGAACTCATTATTAACTTTGTTAGGCATTAGTCATTGGCCGATTTCAGTATTGACTGTGATTTGAACCAATCGGGTTTTAAATTGGGAAAAGGTGACTAACATTTAAAATTAGTAAAAAATAAGTTTAACCATTTGACAGACGTTAGTTTCTATGTATATATTTTTGAAAATCATTTAATTACCTACTTATTATTATAATACTATACTTTATCTACTATAATAGTAGATAAAGTATAGTATTACATTCGAATGATTTAAGTCTCCCGTCTAGCGACTCGAGGCGCAAACCTCATCCTTGTGAATAATAGCCTGCATTATTTCTCGTATATTAATACTAGTACTATTATATTTTATAGCCCAGGCGCATGATTTAAACAAATTGTAATTTCAAAATGTATGGGATTTTTTCATACTTAAAACCACTGGTATCAGAGTGTATACACTTATAAGTTATTTTCCAAGTTGACTTTTTTTACTTGGGTGTCACTAAAGAATTCCGATGTCGTTTAACCCTACCTAAATAATATTTTAATGACATAAGAAAAATTCAAAACTTGGTAATAAATAGACATGCAACAATATTCAAGATATTTTTGTAGAAAATTGTATGCTACACAAAAAAGGTCTTATGTTTTATTTCATCATTTTAATTTAAAATATTTGATTAATCCCCCCCGAGGACAAAATAAAAAATTGTATAGTAAATGTTATAAGTTTTTCAATGAACAATATTTTACTATTTTTATTACTATAATAGGTAGTAGTTAACTATGAGGTATAAGGACTGTTTTGATTGTTCAACAGTTTTAAAGGGATCTTAAAAAGAAATATCTTTTGGATGACATAACGAGTTTTATGAAAAAAAAGGTTTTTTTTACTTTTGGATAAAAAAACTTGACGTGATGAAGCAACTCTGGGTCGGTTAAGTGTTAAAAACGTTCAATAAAAATGTGTAGTATTTACTACCTACGCCTTTTATAAACTACCACAATATCAATTTCCTTTTACAATAATTAAATAATCTTTTTAAGAAAATAAAGTTAACAAAATAATAATAAACACATAACAACAATAAAATAACTTACGGAAAATATTACGAATAAATTCAAGAACATGTCAAAATTAATCATGTACGTTGGAAAGCATGTGTTACACCGTGTACGATTCGTAGTTAACTAAGACCAGCTTGATGGTAGCGAGAGCGAATGAACTAGAACCGGAGGACATGAAATCGACGGAGGCTCACGCTCGAGACAACGTGATCGACGAAGTCCCTTCTCGTGTACACGGAACTCTGTTCACGTCGTCGCATTAGAATAATTTTACGAGGGGTGAAATCATGTAATATTTATCTGTTTCATGCTGATTATTAATTTATTTGCCAGGGGACATTTTACATATCAAATAACACCATTGCATGGCTTCTACGTTTACCTAGTGACGAAAATCCAATATATTTAATTGAGAAATTAATCTGATGCCCTTCAACCAGTGGGTGGTAAAGGGCGATACTTACTAAATATATTTAGTATACTTAATACACAATCATGATAACTTTTTCTGTGATACTGTATTTTTTTAATACAAGGTGGGCCACCAGAAACGAAAGGGTCAAATTTTTGGTTACTTAAATTTAAAATAGACAAATTTATTTTTTCTAAGCATCTTCTTTATTATATTATTTAAATATATTTTTATCCTTTAAAGGCAAATTTGTTATAAGCAAAACCACTAAAATTTGAAATTCCATCATAAATAATCTGCAAGTAATACCTTATTTGAAAGGTTTTTACCTTAAACAAACTATGTATTAATTTTTTCGATATATATTATATAATATATACAAAATTGAAACCTACATATTTTATTGGTCAATTTCAGAATGTGTGGTTTAGGCAGCATTTAACATTTTCTTAAAAATTGCATAAGCCAAGGTTCCCGTTCTCGTCCTGTTCCAAATCCCAAGACACCTTCATACCAAATTTCATCACAATCTGTTCAGCTGTTAAATACTGTCAAAAATGGCGAACGCGCCGGGATTATAACTGATTATATGGGTTATTCTCAAAATAACTACAATCTTTGCGTGACGTGTGTTTTTTTCTCCCATATTAAAAAAAAATGGTAAAAATAAGTAACATTTTTAAAGTACACAACGTTAACTAACAGTACTTTAAGTAAAAAAAAATAAGAAAAAAAAATACCGCCCAAAAAACTGATCTGAATAGAGATATTGTCCTTTCCGTGGAACGTGACTATATCGTGTTGGTAAGTTTCAGTTAATGTAGTGAAAAGCCTGCATATTAAAAAAACCTAAAAAAATTGCCATTATTATTAAATACCCCAAAAATACATAGATATGGTTCATATCCCTTTTTATTCTTTTTAATTTAATATTGTAGTTTAGTCATTTATACGTTACCAGTTTCGATCCATTACGAGGACTTATTTGTAAGTGCAAAATTTCAAAAGTATTTCGCGCCACTCACGTCAACCGTTAATTTTATGTCATAAAAAACCTGTCATTTGTTATTTAAGTCGCCCTTGTCAGTTCTTTTTTGAAAGGTTGTAAAGAAGCGTTCATGTTTATGTACGAGGCTCCAGTGTAGAAGCATAGGCTGTCCTTTCTGTTACAATTATATTTCAAACAGTAAGTATTGAATTATTTTCTAATTATTGTCATTATTATTGTCAAAGTTTTTATTTTTGGCATATGAAAAATGCGAAGGCATAACCTAAAATTTACCTTTCTTATAGAGAATAATATACATAGATGTCCATTCAGTGGACGTCTTTTCTGTGGACATAATTTACTCATAAATAGAAAAATTAAGGTTTGCATGCAATATCAATCTTATTTTAGTTTAGGATTTAACTAAAGCTTTACAAAAAGGCTCTTGTAATAATATTACCAAACTTTTTAGTATTCAAAAAATAATAAACCGAAAGTGTAGTTATTTTGAGAATCACCCATATATTATAAGTGTTCCAATTTACAACCTTAGGAATGGAATTTTAAAAAATTTTATATGGGTCTTTCCATTTCAAAACGACCGGTACGCGCAGGTCATGATTTTCTTTTTCTATGAAACTTAAATATGTTGTTTTTTTGGTCGAAATAATGAGATACGTATTTTTTTGTTTGGCGAAAAAAAATTTTTTTGTTGATTTTTGGCGATTTATTTTTTGCGGTAAAAATCGATTTTTTTCGTTGACCGAAAAGCTTTTTTTTAAATGCCTATAACTTGTTAAAAAAATGACTTACTTTCCTATTAAATAGCTCCACAGTAAAAAAACAAATCTTAGTTTTCTTAATCTTCACTTATTTTCCCCATTTAGGTTTTTTTGCTGTTCATGTTTACGAATTTACAGTAGATCTTTTTAGTAGCCCCATTTGTTATTAATCAGCCCTCGGTGGTGTAGTAGTCAACGCTGTGGACTACAAGCCGAGAGGTCGTGGGTTCGAATCCCACCAGGGGTATGGCTGTTTATTGTGTTTGTCTGTGTATTCCTGTAATTGGGCCCGTGCCTGTTTGAAGCACATTGAAACTTAAAAAAAAATAAAAAAACAAATAAAAATAAAAAATAAAATAAATCAGTAGTCAAGTTGACAATGTAAACCCAACCCCTCCGGGTTTTTCGGGTGACGTTCACAATATCGAAATTCATTATATCGAATTCAAAATATCGAACACTTTTTATCGAAAATCAAAATATCGAAAATACAAAATGTCGAAAATCAAAATATCGAAAATTAAAATGTCGAAAATGATAATATCGAAAATTAAAATGTCGATTTGAAAATGTCGAATAATTAAAATTTCAAAAATTAAAATGTCGAAAATGATAATATCGAAAATTAAAATGTCGATTTGAAAATGTCGAATAATTAAAATTTCGAAAATTAAAATATCGATTTAAAAATATCGAAAATTAAAATGTATGATTAAAATCGAAGTGTATATGTACAGAGGCGCCTCTGTAGATAAAGTTACGGTTATGCACCGAATTATCTTGGCTCCCTGGCTCCTAGAGATGCGCGTTTTATAGAAATGTACTCAAACTCAACAACACAACCCAACCGATTAAATAAAATTTCGATATTATCATTTTCGACATTTTAATTTTCGATATTTTGATTTTCGACATTTTGTATTTTCGATATTTTGATTTTCGATAAAAAGTGTTCGATATTTTGAATTCGATAAAGTGAATTTCGATATTATGAACGTCACCCGGGTTTTTCCATATCAGTTGTTCACGGGAGATCATCCTTACATGGAAATAAAAACTTTACGTAAAATGTCGTCAAATTTTTGTACATTAATATTATGTATTGGTGATTATAACAATGCTTTTTGATCATAGATTTAGGGAGAGTTGGGTAATCGGGCCCATGGGCACCGGGTAATCAGGTCCACTGTATTATTATGGCTGTTGTTGGCGATATATTTTAGATAAAAGTAAAGCCATCTGTAGAATGGTGTCTTCAGTCTATGTACATTATTTAAAGTCAGTTTTATCAATAGTTAAAGTTTGTACGTCTTTTTCATTATTTATGGCGTTTCGATCTTTTTTAACAGTTATATTTATACAGGGAAAAATTAATTTAAATATACAATTTTATTTCATCTTTTGCTTGCAAATTAATATTTAATCCTTCTTATCAAAATCATCATTTATAAAACGTTGGTAATATTTTTGATATTTTTATGAAAATTTTGTTTTTTTACACATAATGTGGTCCCTATTGCCTAAAGTTAAAAAATAAAATATTTTTTATGAAGAAGACTACTCCAGCAATGGCTTTAATTCCAGCAATAGCTTTAACTCCTTTTTCTCTTGAAACTAACCAAGAGCCTAAAGAAGCTGTAGCAGATGCAGCGTCAAATGTGAATGAGGATTCTCCTGCATCTGCAGGGCCAACATTATGTGACTTGACTCAAGACTCTTGATGCTCAGGTGCAAGCAAAAAATCGGCATATACTTTGGGGTCCTCATTTCCCGACTCGGCGGATAATGAGGCCCTTTCGTCTTTTTTTATTTTTATAAAAATATGTTCCTTCTAGAAGGAATTTTTAAACGATTTGTGTTTGTTAATAATCCATTAAAGCTAAAATAACATAAACCTAAATAATTTCGGAAAAATAACCAAAATATGAGTAAAACGGCTTAGGGGTTTCTCTTCCCTAATAACTAAGTACATTGAAACAATAAACTAGCCAACATTAAAAACGATCAATGCAAAACATAAATATTAATTATTTCCTTCATTAATATAATATAAAAATGTTTTGAATTAAATTAAACTATTAAACGACAATACATTTTTTCTATAACCAAATTTGCGATTTGTCGCTTAGTTACCATGGAAGCCATAATAAAGAAACGTTTAGTGTATTTGCGACTTTTGACATAAACGTCAAATTTGAGGTTATCAATAATTAATAATTTTTACCAAACATTCTTATAGAAATACCGGTTGTAGAAAAAATCCTTTGTGTATACATTTTAATAATTATAATTCGAGGGCAAAGTGACATTGCCGCTCTCGCGAGATAGCCTCGCTCCGCTACGCGTCGCGCGTCAAACTTCTCTCTCAGAGCGGCAATGTATGACTTTGCGCTCTTAATACACAAATAGTAATTTCCTCATGGATCCATAAACAGCAAACATAAATAATAATAAACCGTCTTCATTGTCTAACCTGTTACTAAACATTTATTTTACAAACTTAACCATTAAATTTTAAAAGCGCGGCAAAATTAATGCTGCCGTACGATGAATCAATCAACATAAACTTTATTATTACGAATGCCTGTCGTAGACTTCTGGTCATCGCAACGAAATTTTTACATGCAATTTTTATCTTCAGTCTTATAGCGTTAAAATGTTAGTTCCGCGTTTAGCCAAAGAATATTTAATCTTTGGTTTAACCCTAAAGCTTTATTAATGAAATTGTGATTAATATAAATAGTGAACATTGGCGAAGCCAAGGTGTGTAAGCTTGTAAATTTATTTTAAACATTTTTGACCTTTTCGGATTAATATTTAAGTTTTGTGCCTAATATACGTAGTGGAGATTGACGAAACCGAGGTGTGTGAGCTTGTGAAGTTACTTTAAACATTTTTGACTTTTTTAGATTTAGTAATATTTTAAATATAATTATTTAGGATTATATGTAATTAAGGAGGTCGATATATTTTAAAATTATTTATATATTTAATATTGACTTTTTACAGAATTGCAT